ATATACACATATACATATATATACATATATATACATATATATACATATAGTGTGTGTGTGTGTGTGTGTATACATGGTTTATAATGTGTGTAGCTTTGGACTTGTACTTGTTCACAACTTTAATTACTTATTTGTTGTTTGGTATTTTTAGTAGAAGGCCATTAGCCATTTGAAAAGCCCAGACATGGGCTATTTGAAGTTTCATTGATGTGAAGTCTTAAAACTCAACAATACCCCAAAACAATTCATTAATAATCACTAGCCCAAATTGCTGCCTTTGTTTTTCACAAACATTATATTTATTTTTCATGTAATAAACATTAAAATCTATATCCTTCTGTAATGATAATTCATTAAATAAATAACAATCACTAATGTTCAAGTTTGATGTTTTTTCATTGTAACCAGTTTTGTAAATGTATTAAATTAACAAAGCCTTTGTCCCTGTGCCTAAATATTGGTTGTGCTTTTTCTGTTCCAGGAATTCTTTGAAAAGAGAAAAATGCAACAAAAACTTAAAAACATGGGAATACCTGTCCCAGCCCCTTCCCTAGGCAACACTAGTTCTGGTAGTTTGGACCTAATGACTCTGTTTATCGTCAACCAGATTGCTGCTAAAAAAGCATGTAAAGGTGAGATTCACAGCCCCAGATCACCAGAAAACAATAATCGAATACATTTAAGCCTCAGGATGGCAAATGATGTAAACAGAAAGTGTTCTTGTTTTTCAGATCCTCCTAAAGCAGCAGTTCTTGGCAGCTGTAAGGCAGGAGCCAGGCATAAGAGAAAAGATCCTCTGGTGCTCCCGATGAGCCCCTGTTCCCCATCACGGCTGTGTCTTGTTGAGGGCCAGTCTGAGTACAGGTATAGCCCCACTGTGGGTTATCAGTTCTTGTAGCCAATTATGTTAATATAATAATAATAATCCTCTTAATAAATGGAATGAAAAGGGTTTTAAAAGTATTATATTTTCCATTTTAACAGTGTTCAAGAAAGCAGAGAAAGAAGGAAGGTAATTCCACAAGGGTTCAAGTTTCAGCGTGTAAGTCACTCTCCCGCTCTTCATGGTTTTACTTCAAGTTAGCAAAACATGCTTAATATGAACAAATGTAAAGACACTCACTAAATCCCTGTTTTTGTAAGTTGTCGCCAGTACTTGAGTCAGGTTTCTCAGACAACAGTGCCTCTGACTACCTGCCTGCCATACCTGATGCCCGCAGCCCCTTCTCTTCCACCTCATCTGCCTGCTCAGGCCAAGGTTGTGTAACACTAATAGACTATTAACAACTATAACTCAGTTACAGTACTGCGTATTCTTCTTTGCGTGATGATATCTTATGAAATCCAACTGTTCTCCACAGGAACTTTCACCCTGCAGCTGAATCTCCAGAAACAAAGCCAGGCACTGCATCCCTCTTCTCCCCCACCCTGGGACACCTCAGTTCTATCGCAGACCGATGCAGTAAGGGATAGCTCTTATTAGAATTACATCACTACTTTAAGGTTAAAGTTGTATTTTTTACACATTTTACCCCACACGTGGTTTCACATGTAAGAAAGGAAAAGTATGGAAACTCTGACTTGAGTTGAGAAACTTATCTAAAGTTGGTGTGGAAAAATGGCTTATGTTGGTGTTGTTTAACAGGCCAACAAAGATTTTGGTAACTTCTCAGAACTCTGCTTTACAATAAATCATATTGTGCTTTAATTATAGAATGTGACATATGTCATGTGTGTCAGGGTCTTTCACAGTGAATGTAATCTTTTTTTTGTGTATTGATTTCATTCATGGGAATTAAAAACTGGTAATTTTGCCATGAGGCTGAGATACACGTTGAAGATGGTTTGTTTCAAGTAGTAGCTGCTGAAGTAACTAGATGAATGGGCCTGTTCCTGATAGTCTGGTGGTGAGGTGGTCCACTCAGGGTCACCAGCGTTTCGCCCTTTAACCTGTAAGACTTTAAATGAGTGGGGGATGGCCAACTTCGATGAAAATTGAAGCTGCATGCCATCCTTTTCGCATTGGCTTTCTTCAGATTGTGAGAAATGGATAGCCTGTCCCCCAGTGACCTCATCTACAAACATGGTTTTTGCACACCTACACAAGTGTAATCCCAGGTGCCTAATTATAAATACTTATTTATATTTATTCAGGCTATTCAGGCCTAAAATTCAGGCATTCTTGTTCAATACAAAAGCTGAAAACAACAAAGAAAAAGTAATGTAGCATTACTTTTGGTATTACTAAAGGTACCAGTATTTTATCATATCACTATAGTATTTTAGTAAGTAAAATTTATTTATATAGCACTTTTCACAGTTAAAAATCACAAAGTGCTTCACAATTAAACCAGAAATATAAATAAAATGAAAAAAAAATTAAAGCTTGTTTGTATAGAAATGTCTTCAGCTGCTTTTTTTTAAAAGGGGTCAAGTGTAAAGAGTGCTTTTGTGCCACTGCCCGAAAAGCCCGATCCCCACATGTTTTGAACCCAGTACATGTGACCAACAGTAACCTCTGACCTGAAGCGCTCAAGAAGAAGCATGAGGTTTCAACAGGTCAGAGATATACTGTGGAGCTTCAACATGTAGAGCTCTGAAAGTTACAACTAAAAGTTTAAAATGAAACCTAAAATTTGCCGGCAACCAAAACTGGAGTAGTATGTGACCTCTTGTTTTAGACCAGTTTATAGTCTTTGGACCAACAGCATGTCTTGCTAAGAGAAAATAGTTACAATCTAATAAAATGTGACAATAATGTGTCTTTCTTCTGACAAATGCTGATTTGTTTCTGTCAGTTTCATCCTTTCTCTCAGCCCAGAAGTATGACAAACACATCTCCCTGGTCGCACAACCTTAACCAACCCTTCTTCCAACTTGAGAACCCCACAGCATCTCAAGTCCTCTTTGGCAGTCCACAACCAGGGTGAAAACAAGTTTACATTTTAATTGGTTATTTTCTATCCTTAGTTTCCATTTTTTAACCAATCAGTGCCCGTGTGTGTTGCCACAGTAAAAGCAAGGCAGAAGACCATGCAACATATGTGGACAGCATCTTTCTCAACCGGCCAAAGGACAAAGAGTCCATGCTGGACTTCACGCTTAACCAGTCAGAAATTCAGCAGCAATTGGAGAACAATGTCTTTAGAGGCTTTTGTGATGAAGATTGTGAAGGACACTCTCATTCTGGGAGTGAAAAATCAAAAATATGTCTCCCAGATCAGACACCGGTAAACTCTTCTGCACCTCAGTAAGTGTTTGCACTTCCAGTCTAACGAAATGCATTATTATGGAGCAAATTTTGAATCCATTTTATGTTGGGTTTTATCATTTTATTGCCAGAACTGTGCCAGACTCACGGTGCATGGGAGCAGAGGTAAGCGGGTTTTAAAAACTACATGTGGGAGTAAAGTTGCCCTTTTACTGCCACCAAGTGGTCAAGTTTGGAACTGCGACGAAATTAACTTTAAATGTGTAGAAAGTAAATCATCACAAAGTTTAATGAGGCTCTCCAGTCATCATAAGCTGTCATATAGAGCTCCCAACAGTTTATGTTTAATATTTTTTATAACTGGATTATATACATGGGTACAGCAGAAGTGTCAAATATTGATTATGTTTTGTTCACAGCCCTGCAACTGCCCTGACACAAGGTTTTGTAAGTTTCCAAGGAGTCTCACGTTAAGGAAATTCATTTATTATGTACATGTTTGAGGAAAAACCAAAACGTAAATGGGTGTTTTTTCCCCTCTAATTCCACAGCATGTTTTGGAGACAACACTGGGCCAGTGAATGGCTCTGAATATTCGCCAAGTTACTCTTTTAGAGGAGGTCACCTGAGTCCAGACTCAAATGATGTGAGTGAAGCTACACTGTGAACTTTATTCCAACTTTCTGAAGTGCTCTACTTGGAAAGTTATCTTTGAAATACATTGAAGTAATCTTTCATCTAACCCCTCAAAACTGTAGCAAATTCATGCTGTATTTTTGTAGTACTGATGTTAATTAAGCTGTAGATTAACTATCAGCACTCTGCCAGTTTCTGCAGCCTCCTTTTTTAATTAAACACAAATGAGTAAATTACTATTAAACAGATGATCATCACCTGTCCCAAATAGTTAACACCAAAAAGCAACACTCATTAACAGCACAGTGTTCTTTGCACAGTGCCACTGATTTATACCTCTTTCCTGGACATATTTTCACACCATCTGACACAGGAATTGCTGTTTTCTACTTTTAAAACTATATATTAGGATGAAGACTGCTATCAGCTATGCCTCCCAGCATCTTCTTCTTACATGGATCAAGCCTTTGGCCTCAGTGGCTCACAAGGGAATTTAAATGAAACACTCTCTGAGCTCAGGTCTCACAGCCCACGAATAAGATCCCAAATGGACTTCAGAGTTGACCTAAAAGTTACTGAGAACATGGCTACCCCAGATAAGGCCTTTGAAAGTAAAGGGCAGGAGAAAGAAAGCAGCACAGCTCTCCTTTTATCTCCACACCCTTCAGCTCAAACTCAGAGCTCAGATGTCTGCAAATGCAAGAAAACATCAAGTGAAACTCGAGATGCAGGAACTCAAACAGTACGCAGCCCCCCAGCTGGGGCGTGCGATGCTTCGACTCAGTGCAGCTTTGTTGCAGACAGTGCTCTTGGGTACAGCTTGCATCTATCAAACGCTGACATGTCGGAGCTGCCTCCAGCCACAGGGAGGCAGGCCGGTACTGCCACAGAGCCAGATGCACTCACAGCTTCACCAGAAAACTCCAGGAGCGAAGAGAAGCAGACGCCCTGGAGCAACAAGAAATCAAAGGCGGTTTCCCTGTCAGGCAGGAGCATGACCACTGCTAATAACGGTGCCAAAACGATTCTACAGAGACCCGCAAACCTCCTTCTCACTAACGACCTGAGCACGACTAATGTCAGAGGTATGACATGAAAGTGAAATAGTCAGCTCTCTTTATGTGTCGTTTGAGAGAAACTTGAGATAGAAAATCACATTACATTTTGCTCTAATGTTTCTAATTTAGGTCAGGAGAATAAAGAACACGAGAACTGCCCTCCAATGACAAGCTTTTCAGATCAAGGGAGGGAAGAGGGCACATCTGGCACCAGAGTTAACATAGTCTCAAAGGAGGCTGAAATGCTTCAAGAAATAGCCAACATTTTGCTCCTCCTGAAGCAGAGGAAAATTCAGGGCTACTAAGAACAGATGGATGAAGACATCAGGAAATCAGTTCTGTGCTGTGCATCTTCCTTTATTTTAAAGCAACAGTCATAAAAGTAGATTAAAATAGTTACAGTGTTCTTAATGTTGTGATGCAGTTTATGCAGTTAAATAAAGCTCCAAAACATGACTTTGATTCATACATTTATTTCTTTCCCCATATACACAATATTTCATGAAGATATTTATCTTTATATAATATAAACTCTAGCAAAACATTTACAGCTTGAACAATAATCAAATATACAGCACTCTTTTTTTTTTAAATTTGCTTTTCTGTAATACCCCACAAACTTTAGCAAAAACACACATAATTGGTTCACATAGAAAAAAATGTAACCATTTTACTGATAAGTACCCATTTAATGCCCTCAGCTGTGGTAGAGGACAGTGTTAACCGGAGGTTAAGGGCTGAACACCACATTATCTCTGACACAGGTGCAGCCTAAAACAATCACATTAAATATTTGGTTGACACAAGTTTTCGTTACTCAGTCTGTGCCGTGGACAGGTAAATCTGTGGTTTTTGTGTGTAGTAATACTTTCAGTACAAAACTAGCTTGTGAAGTTTTAAGAAAACTCTCCTGGATTAAGTGAAACTGATCAAATACAATCCTATACTAAATCATAGTTGCTAGTGTTTTCTACACCTTTCACTCCAGAGAAGCTGCGCTAAATGAGTTGAAAAGCAAAGTTTTGGAAGTTTAAGTTATTACTCTGAACTATATTTCGCAATGTTTTGTTTTTATTGAAATAAACAATCAGTTTATCTTCGAGGATCCCTTTATTACCGCTCTGGGTTAAAAAAGACAATATCTGGAATATTCTAGCCCCATAACTACAAATCACAAGTGTTTACAATAGAATAGCTTATCATTTTCAAACACAAGTTGAATATTTGACCGTGTTTTGTGCTGACTTCAATTCTTGATATGATTTTATTGTAGTCTGTACATTTTAAAACTACTTTTTGTGTTTGAAAAATGATCAGCTATTATAACACTGAAGAACTTGCAACTAAAGAGGCAACTATGATATTTGAAAGCTTTTTTTATTTTCAAAAAATCAGCCGGTTTTCCACATGAGGGTGCTTGTGTGCTACAGTATGCCATCACTGTTCTTCCATTTATTGAAGGAATTTGTTTCTAATCAATTTTTTAAAACCTTTTTTCCCCATAGCTATCCACATGACACCTTGAAAACACCAAAATTACTACAATACTTGCAAATACCACCAAGTTTTAATGGATCACTTAGGTGTAATTGTCCCACGGCATTTGATGGTCTGTTTCTTGTTTTAAAAAGTGGTACTAGTCTATAAATAGACTAGATTTATAGATAATGGACTGTTGGGAAAATAAATTTAAATGGTAATTTTCTGCTAGCACATTATCCGTTTTTTTACTGAGGTTTCTGGGTATTTCTATTAATGTGGGGTTAAAAGTATAGGTAGAAGAAATCATATGGAAAATTCCATCATTTTAAACGTTGCATTGTACTGTATTTTTACAATCGTTTATTTTGGGTGTCTGCCATGAGAAACCTGTTCACTAAGCACAGCAGCAGCCTTTATACCCCTTACTTACCCTTTTATATTTTTTGTTACACAGTTGTCTACTTTCCAACAGTTTTGCTACACAGAAAATTACGTGTATTTAACTAACAAGGTGTAACCTTACACAGTTTACACTTTTACAAAACAACATTGCCAAATTACGCTAAAGCCTACTCCTCAACTTTTGACACAAGAACTACATAAATGATATGCTCGGCTATTTGTACATAAGGCTGTGAAGGAAGACACAAAGCAAAATACATGAAATTTTAGTCAATAAAATTCCATCACAGGTGAAATGCAAATATGCACATGTTAAAATTAAAAAAAGGCCATGTAGACCTACAGGAAATGTGACTGAAAAATGGCCATTAGGCACCTTCACAATACACAGGCACTAATATATCAATGTTCAGATAGAACGAAACACTTAAAAATCTCAGTCATCAAGCTAAAGCTTACTTTTACTGCTACAGACAGAACAGCCCGGTTTCTTTGCTGGATATTACAGACACTATATCCAGAAATAACGACAAGAAAAAGTTCATTGCAAGAGTTGCAACATTGGTTCGTAGGGTAGGTTTTGCGAAGCACATTTTAAATGAAAAAGTAAGCAACGTTAAGAAATTTGTAATTTGTCGAAATGTGGATTCACAAAAAGATCTGTTTTAAATAAATATATAAATACACAAACCATACTGTAGCACGAAGACTTCCAGTCCTTTCAGGGCTACCAAGTTTGTAAGAGCGGTTTTGTTTCGGCACCCGTCGACAATACAAGTTTACTCAACCGTAATGATATGCCGTGTGTCTCTGGCAATTGCTTTTCATAAAAATTCAAACTGCAAACAGAAGAACATCAGGTCAAGGACTGACATTAAATGTGCTACGCTACAAGCTGAAAAAACGAGACAGCAGAATGTGTCTCATACACCAAGGCATAATGGTACGAAAGACGACAACAGCTGCTGTCCAGTCAACAAAAGTTTTGTGGTTGTATTTACTGTAACTTTTTGAATGGAGTTGCCATTGTATTCTGACACAAAGCTCTGGGATAAAACCGTTTATAAATCATAAATGGTGCTTATAAAACAAATGCACAAAATATTAGGGACAAATTCCAGTCCCTTGTATTTTGTATCTTTGCATCTGTTAAACAGTCATAACTAGTCTCTATGAAAAAGACACTGGATTTCTATGTATTATGCTTTGCCTATTATCTGCGTAGAAGGCCAGTGTTATAGACTTCTGTGGTTGAAAATAATAAGCAGGTCTGGTCTGAAACCAGATAAGGTGCCAGTTCACCCCTGAATTTAGAGAATGAACTAATGGGAAACATTCATGCTAAAGCATTAGTGTTGATTGGGATTTCCCCAACTGACTGCTTGAAAAGTGAACTGATACATGTTACTGATAGAAGCATAGTCTTCTAAAATGTAATTCCCAATCTATGTTGGAGGTAAACCAGTGGCCCCACAGATCACAGGAAAAAGAACACTAATACAGACTCAGCCGCTCTGCATGTTCCAGTGAAACAGCTAATGAAACACCCAGAGGGAGGTAAGCAACACCCAAGTTTCCTCTAGTCTACATCTGATGCGTCATTGTCCGATAGATGGTAGTTTGAACCTTTGACCCGGATGTACTCAACCTGCCGTCCCTCATCCGAATCAGAGGCGCCGCAAGAGCAAAGGTGGTTTTCGAACAACGCTTCGATCTCCTCCAGACGGCGGGATTTGGTTTCTGGCAGGCAGCCATATGTGAAGACGAAACCCAGCAAGGCCATGCTGGAGTACAGGAAGAAAGCTCCTGAGAAGACAAAGCAAAAGAACACGCTGTCACCGAGGATAGCCACCCACAAAGATGAGAAACACAATGGCACAACTTCACACTTCTTATGAGAAATGATTTGCTTGTTCTCATTCACTGCCAGAAAAAGAAACACCGATGGTGACAACAGATCCCGCGGGCAGCTAATATTAGACCACGACTGCCCACGCACTTCTAGGGACGTGTGTGGTGAAGAATGAAAATGCTTTTGCAACACTGCTTTCACACTGCTGGTCACCCTACGATAAATGTGGAGTATAAGTAAAATGTCCCTGTCAATGTGGCCTTACAGCAGGGTTAACGGGAAACAAATGTGACGAATAAGGGTTCATACGAAAAGACTGACACAGGTTTAATGAGATTTTGTCGCAACTGTGGTCCGTATTTTCTTCTTGTCAACGCACAGTGACATTTTTAAGTTGCAGCCGAGTGCACTTTAAGATTTAACAAGACAACATCTTGTGTTTTCCCAGCTTTGACATTATTTGCCCCACTTTTAGTAAATGATTGCTATCAAGCAGATAAATTGGTGAATGACTCAGAATCGATAATTAATCCAGTGGATCTCAGGATGCCTCCACAATCACCCCTGATTGATTGATCTCCAACTCCGCCAAAGGTCAGCTCCTTCCTGTGTGAGGGGAAACCTGCTGTTGTGCTACACTGACTGAGGAGTTATGCAAGATGGGTGGAAGAAAGCATCACTTCAGGGTATCAGCAAGCTGTTCTGTCCTTATTGCTCTTAATGGGAACACAAAAATACCTCTTACGTGTAAAAAAAATAAAGGATAAAATCTTTCAAGGTTATTATTTCCTTACACACAGAAACTGACCATAGTAGGTGATGTACTGAGCCAGGTGGAGGAAGGTAAGAGACACCAGGATGTTGAAGGTCCAGTTGACCCCTGCTGCACAGGCGTTCCCTGTGCTCCTTGCCCAAAGAGGATAGATCTCAGAGTTGATGGTCCATGGCATTGGACCCATACCTGCGACAGACAAGTGAGAATGAGCCGTGGGACCATTTGATTAAGAGGTGGAGATGCGAGATGGATGGAGAATTGCACTATATTTTGTTTAAGTCTTGTCAGCAGCACTTCATACAACTTATTTCATTTTCTGACATGTAAAAAATTAAAAACTCAAATGTTCTATAGTCTGTATATTTCAAAATGATGTGAGATTACAATAGAAGAAAGGGAAGTATAGATACTTTATAACAGCAGATCCCAACCCCCGGGCCACGGACCGCTACCAGGCCGTGAGTCGTTTGGTACCGGGCCGCGAGAGTTGAGGCTCGGGTGTGAAATTTATGGTTTTCAGGGTTTTTATCGTTAACTCGGTTTCCCTGGGTCTTTTCCCGTGTTGTAGTTGTGAGTCTTATTTTGAAAGAAATATTTACGCGTTACCATAGCGACCAGAGAGCATTAAGGGGCAGAGAGGAGGATGTTACTCTCAGTGTTGTTGGCGCATTTCAGGAAGACGCTGCTAATAAAGTTACACAATTACACGGTGAATTCTCGTTTATTATTATTATTATTTACAAAATACCACAGTTTTTGTCTTGGTCGTATCATTTTATTTTGTTGTATTTATCCACAACACCTCACCTCGGTCCGTGAAAATATTGTCTGACATTAAACCGGTCCGTGGAGCAAAAGGTTGGGGACTGCTGCTTTATAATACAGCCCATACCCCTGTCAGACCCTTGAATTCCAATCCAAGAAGACAAGGACAGGATACCACAAAGAGGAAATTTTGGTTGTCCTTTACTTTAAAATACCCCAAAGTTACTAATTAAATAAAAAATACATGAAGTTTGATTTGCATCCTCTTTCTTCTCCCTAGACTCTCAATTAAGAAGAATTACATGGTAAATGTAGAAAAATTACATAATCAGTCGTGGGCTGTGTTATGAAGTGCTACCGTGCCTATAATAGAAACAAAGACGGTAGTTGAATTTGACAGAAGCAGAAAAGCTCTATCAATATGCAGCATCTACATACAAGTAAAAAGATATTTGATTTGATTTGCAGTCAGCTTCTGATTCCTTTTGTAGGTTGAGTAGTATTGACCAGGCAAATTTATGCAGGCTTTGGCTGCGTACAGGTAAACAGTCCATGTGGAAAATTAAATAAAAACATATACGCCAAAATGCAGTTTTATAACTACTGGCTCTTGTTTAGCTATATGATCTACCTGTTTATTTGCGTTTTAAAAACTGTATCTGCATTTCTGGACTCTAAACAATGAACAGTACACCAACTAGGAGTTTAGACAGCAGCCAATGGGTTGGTGCTTTGTTAGGATTATAATGGATCCTGTTAACTCTGGTAAGCACTCAGACAAACACATCTGCAGCTACAAGTCCAACACAGTGAGGTTTAGCTTTGGCAGGATATCAGAATATAGTGTGCTTTGTCCCACACTGCATTTTCAGAATTCAAAAAAATTATGTTCAATTTATGGTTCTTTTTTGTTATTGTTTGTTTTGTTTTCCCCAAAAGCATCCTGGTGTTGGATCTCATGGGGACTAAAACTAAGGTTCAGTCTCTCACCCGGCGCAAAGGCAGCCAAGTAGAACACCAGTCCCAGTAAAACCAACCAGGAGAAGGAGGTGGGGCAGTAGTTGTAGGCCCAGTAGGTCTGATCTCTCATCAGGGTAGAGTTGGAGCATCTATAAGAGGCATGCACATTTTAGTTAGTTAGACTTTACCAATCCTTCTTAAAACTGTGAGGGGGGGGGCAGTTAAAGGTGAGGTGTGTTATTTCACTGCATCCTAATGCACTTCCACATGCTCACTTTGCATCCTGTGACTCACCTGCCCCATGCTGCGTGCTCGGTGGAGGCCTTATTGACTGGCACGCAGGAGGAGGCGAGCAGCGCCGAGCCATTCTCACGGTAACAGAAGCCGCATCCAGGATCCAGCATGCACGGCTCGCACACCCTAACAGCAGATGCAACACGCATTAACTCTCATTGCTCTAAAGACAATCAATCAAACGGCAGCTTGTAATCACATTCTTTTACGTCTGCCTTTCCTCTATAGGATGCTGAGAAACTCCTTGTAAAATTTCAATATGAATGTAAACGTACCTGCTGCTACTGGACAAGATGCAAATATAACAGAAAAACAGCTACCCACCCATCTAACTGAGGCACACATCTCTCACCAAAATCAGGAAATGCATGAGACATTCGTCCCCACTGTGTGGGATTCACTATCATTACATTTCTTTTCCTATCCTGTTCCCAGCTTTGTTAATTTAAACTACATCCTATCACATTATCATGTTCTGCGGTCTGTTTCTTGATGAGCAGTCCTTATTTTTGAGTGTTTCAACTGAATAGCTTCACAAGGGTGCACTCATCTTTCCCCGTGCTATTTAATCAGGTTCGAGGTAGGTCATGAAATGCACACTCTGCTTGAGAGATCTATTTTTATTGTCCGTAGCTTCCAGGGAAGCTTTTCTCTAATTTCACGCTGAGGTTAAGGATGAAAATAACACCATGTATTCAAAAGTAACTATTGCAGGAGGGTGAGGAGAAAGATATAACCACTTAGCATTAGCTGCTTAGAAGTATCTGTAACACTGATATAGATATTGTTAAGTATTAGTAAAGCTAAAGCCCATTAAACATCTGTTTTTATAAAAAGAAAAAATCCCAGAGACATTAGCAGGTCAGGCTAACTAGCCCAGCAGTAATGTAATGCTAGTGAAATAGTACCTTAGCACTCCTAAGGGTTTTTATTAGCGTTAGCTAGCATTGCAGGCTGGTTATGTCATAGATGGCAATTTCACCACTGTACTACTCATGGACTTCCCTTTTACCATGTGTGTAATGCAATGAGACAGTTCAGGAGACTAAGATGTATATTTTATACATATATTTTATACCATATGTTTAAAATTATATTTACTATATACATATATTTTATTCCATATTTGATATTTATCTGGTGACAAAAGTAAGCATAATGTAGCTAGGTCCTAAAAGGGTCAAACCCTTTCCCAATAGAAAAGCAGGGAGCTCGTCTAGAAATCCCTATCAGTAAAATTCTCTATCTATGATAGCTCCCCTTTAACCTTAGTGCTTTCCATCAGGAGCAACCTTCACCCTTAAATTAGTGGACAACCCACTCCACCAAACGATAGCCAACTCAAGGTACACAGTCAGTATAAATGACTAAGTTAAGACCAGGTGAGTCAAAAAAATATTTGTAAAACATAAAATATTTGCACAAATGTTATGTGTCCAGTGCGTAAAGGGCTTTAGCTCTCCTTAGTCAAACCCCAAAATAGCACGTTAAGAAAACATCTTTAAATGGGACATCTGAGCACCAAAGCACTTAAGAGGCTACTGGTGGTTCTGGTGCTCTGTTGATGCTGCTGTGGTCAGTGAAAGGATGCGTGTGGGTTCATGTGAAGCAAAGTGAATTCAGTAAAGCTTTTCCAGTGTGGTAAAAGCACTCATCTCTTCAAATTATCCCTGCGTTTATGCGGGTTATAGCACGCGGTCGCAGGACAGCGAGTGCATTAGGCATTGCCTGTCGTTGTGATGAAAGACTGCCGTTACACATGAGCTTCATCTCGTGTCTGTGTAAGTGAGAGTAAATTGCAACACGGAGGCATCTGATGACTGTTTCATTCGGAAACAAACTCTGGCTCACCGCCTGCCTTCTGCTGCTGCTGGGGACAGTCGAGTGAAATGGGAGTGACAGATGTTAGATGATGAATTGCGTAACTGTTAAAATCATTTAATTACATTTATTATGTGAAATAATTGACCATAATTTCTAACACCTATGCTGGCACTAATTTTGACCTCTGAGTACTCAGAGAAATCTAGATCTGTATTAACGTATGTGTAAAAACCTGCAAGAACTTCACCACAAAAATTCTTTTAGGAGGGTTTTATTCTCTTTCCACCACTTAGTGTCCTCTGCTCTAAAACTGCAAAATACTAAGTGCCTTTACTAAGAACAGAAGTGCTCCAAGGTCAACAGTAGCTTTCTCATGCCAGCACCCCCATTTTCGGTTCTTGTTTACCATTTTAAGCTATGCTACAATACCAAATGTACGAGAGTGCGACACCTTAATACAAACACAGAAATCTGTATTTTCCTTCAAATGTGCTAGATGATCAGACGGAGTAATTCAGAGGGACTCGGAGGTCTAAAGTCATACCTACTCCTCACATCCTGAAGGGAAATAACAACCCTCATTACTAGGTTTGATAGTGTAGCTGGATTTCTTTCCACCATGTACGTACATGTGTGTCTCAGTATGTCTTTTGGTCCTGGAGAAAGCTACTTTAGTGGTTATACCCCAGAACTTGGTTGCAAGCCATAAAAATGCAATATCCAGTTGGAAAAAAACACGAGGTGATTTACGTTCAGTTGAGATCAAAATGAAGGGCACGTTTGAAGACTGGTGTGCTCCGATGCATGGGTACTTCTGTATTAATATGGTAATGGAAGCTGAGCACTTACGGTTTGGAATGTCAACATGTTCCAATTCATAAGTGCTGGCAAAACAGAGGCTCTCAGGGTCTCAGTGCCTCTGAATAGGATGGACATGTCTGACCAAGAGGAGAGAGGAGAGAGGAGGGAATGCGTCTCCCCAGCCATCTCTTCCATCGGGGATTGAGGAGTTGGCCAGGGAGAGAAAGATCTGAGTATCTCTGCCTACACTTCTCCCATGACCTGAAATGGACGAATGGATTCATGCATGGGTAGATAGGAAGAAGGAATAATTGAGCCTTGGCGCCTCTGTGATCCAGGTCCTTTTGCATGCTTCAGTTTTAAGGACTTCTTATTGACATCAAGCATCAATGTGATATTAAGGTGCTTTCAGTCCCATTGCCACAGGTGTAAAATCAACCTAGCCATGCAGTCTGCCTTTACTAACAAAAAGCTCAACGAATCTGTGCATGGTGCTGTAATAGTTTGCCACCGTTGAAACAAGTCAGATTTTAACATTTTTCCCTCTTCGTTCTTCCATAATAAACTGTAAGTGGTATTATTGTAAAGTAGAAGCATTTAGGAACCACAGCAGTTCTTAAGTCAGTCATGAAGTGGCAGACTGTGCATAATTACAGAGCGAGTCACCAAATGCTAAGGCTCATAGTGCATATAAGTCACCACTGATTTGCTAACTCAATAACCGCAGAAATCCAAACCTCATCTGGCATTAACATCAGCACAAAAACTGTGCACTGGGAGCTTCACAGCATGGGTTTCCACAGCCATGCTGTTTGCTTTTATGTCCATTTAATGTCAAGTTCATACTGGAATGAAAATCCTTGTTGTTATCATAATCCCATAATAAAGTAAAGCTCAATTCCACAGTTTACTGTAATTGTTACTGAGTAATTACACCATAGATTAGTGTTTTAACGTGTTCCCTAAAAGACTTGCTTTTGATACCACCGTATTAAATCCTCTGGGTAAATGGTCTTTATTGCTCAAATGGTGTTTTTTTTTTAACACTCTGCAGCTAAAATGGTGAACGGTGGAGCAATCAGAATAACTGCAGAAAAGAAAAGACAACCTGTTGTTGGAGCAGGCTAAGATAACTTAACACTGATAGATTCTGTTGATGTAATAATACCACATACTGTAAGATACATCTGAAACGCCACAGGCCTGTAGATAAAGTACTCACTGGTACTTGGAGCAGGTAGAGTTGGCCATGGCGGGGTCTAATGGGTGGTAGGTGACAGGGGGACTGTGCTGTGCAGACATTAAGAAACCGATGGCCAACAGACTCAAACTGAAACATGTGCCTGTCAAAAAATATAATAATTAAATAACGCAAAGAGCGCACAAAAACAACTTTTAATATTTTTTGTTGATTTGGACAGCTCAAGTCTCCTCCTCCTTTAGCCTTACCTATGATGCTGCCTAGGGTGAGCTTCCTACGCCCCACTCTCTCCACCAGCCACACTCCCAGCAGAGTAAACAGGAAGTTGGTGAGGGTGGTGAGTCCAGCCAACCAGATTGCCAACCTGTCATCGCGCACTCCTGACATCTGCAGGATGGTGGCACTGTAGTACCTATGTGACATGAGAGAAAAAAGAAAAAGCAAAGTTAGAGAATAATAATAAGAAAAAAGAAGAATAAAAATAGGTCAAGAGTATCCTTCTTGTCTATAAACACAGACAGATTGGCAACACATTGCAGTCAGTCTTAGTTAGTCTGTGCCTATGAGTCCAACTTGTCCATGACATGTTTCTTTGCAACAGACTTGACTTACCTGACTGCCAACTGGTTGTATTCTGGCTATATTTCTGCATATAAACAAGTTTGCAGTTAAATCATTGTCCTCAAGCAACTATTTGTGGAGGAATTTCTGAATTTGTGCCAGAATTTAAAAGTTAAACCACTTTATGAAAATACACATTTCAAACTGCCTTACATTCTCTTGGTTTGAATACAGTTGGAAACATTTTGGATAATGTTAGTGTGCAGAGTCAACAAAACACAAGAACGGCATATTCATTTTTCATTATTACACTTGTTATTACACTGTTATTACACATATTACACTTCAGTTAAATACATTTCAATTTTATTTATAAAGTATCAAATCAATACAGTCGCCTCAAGGCGTATTGTAAGGCAAAAACCCTACAAAGTATTTCAAGTACTGTATAATTGTATTTGGAGAAATGTTAAGCAGTCTCAGCACAATATTATGGCTATATTAAAGTATAAATATCAAACAGAAACATATACAAAACTGCAATCAATCTTTAAGTCAACAAGCCAATCACAGCCTCTCTTCGTAAGAGCAATTCACTCATCCACCAACCCCAGACTCTCTACTTGAGCACCAGTCGCTCCACTAGAGACAGCTAGCGATCAGTTATAAATAGGCTCTCTCTTCATCTCTCATATAATATAATTATACTTGCAACTCTGGCACCATGTTGCTCCACGTGTGCAGATTAACAGCAATCATCATCAACAAGGCTCTAAGCAGGCTGCGGTCAACAATACAGACACCTGCACAGAGTCCATTTCCTGTTTCAACTTTGCTACTTTGTAACTAAGAAAGATGAGTGAAAAAAACCAAAAGGACATGCATGCAGAAAACGATGAAACAAAATGCACACACCTGCAGGGACTCTTTAAAGTAAACACCTCCAGGCAGTCTGTTTAAAGTATAGCCATTGAAACGATGCGCTCATTGGCAGAAAACACATCATTACCCAAAATGAACACAACGCGTGCAAGCACATTCAATAGATAGGGACTCAGCAACCTTGAGAGAATGCAACACAAACACAAAGAAGGTAAGACTCATTAAGAAAAAGCTCAAATAAATCTACAGCATTGTCTGCCTGCCTGTGTCTCTAAAGGCAGCTCAGAATTAGCATTCTGCTTTTCATCTCTTCAAAAGCATCGTTATCTCTCTCTTGTTCTCTCTCTCATGTTCTTGGCTTTCTCTCTCTCTCTCTCTCCCAAAACAAAGACATTCATTTGAGGGATTTGCATAATAACACTTTACTTTTTCTGCCATGGTATCCACTCAGACAGAACGAGAACAGAAAAGGAAATGAGATGGTGTGAAACTTGGGTTTAAAAGCATGACCTACAGTCTTATAAGGTGCATGAGGTGATAAATGTTTTTGATGGAATTATTAGGCTTCTGCAGACTGAGATATATGCCGGCAAAAATGCACGTGCTTAATGGACACACACTCACACACACGCGAGAAATGAGTCGGTTTTGGAGCAGCAGCAGGAGTAAAAGCACTATTTCTGTTCTCAGCAGTACAGCCCGCTGTGCTCCATCTCCAGCCCTGCATCTTCCTGATTACAGCACAGACACATGCACACACACGCGCACACATTGTGTTCTGACTTAAAAAGTACTGTGAATAACAGCCTCCAGAAACAAAATGATCATTTTTTGACCACAGTGCCAAGAAGCACGGCCTGTGTTAAATGTTAAAAGCATCTCCGAACTGGCATTTCAGGCTTTTAAAAGCCCCAAAGAGACGCTCGAGAGGCAAACATGGCCGTCAGATTTCTAAAGGACATCGTTATCCATCATCAAGTGCTACAGTGTCATTCTAAGGTGTCATGATGAAATCTCAATGAAAAAAAAAAAGAAATAAGTGGGGAACATAATATATAAAGAACTACTCATCTATAAGTTGATAAATCAACTTTAACCCTGTAAGACCCAACCCATCAAAAATTGCCAGAAAATTTAGATTTTTTGGAACTGAGATGTTTATTAACTCTTATAACAAAATCCACTTTTTTTGCTATATCATGTTGTGTATGATATATTTCTATTAAATATGTATTATATATTTTTTGTATCGCATTTGATACATTGGGTTTTTTGGCAACTTTTTGTCAACTACAATGTTAATTTTAGACAAAAAAAGAGTTTTGTCCATAACATTTTGAAATTATGGCAAGTACTGATCATGTTGATGAGATAGAGGTCTCAGAGACTCATATATCAGATATGATACAGAGGGCATTATAGGGCTAAAAAAAATTTCAAAATCATGTTTTTACTTTTATTTATTTATGTGAGTGTCTACACTACAGCCATCTTTAACACACAGCGGAGGCTCTGTCCTGTTTTGGGGCGGCATTTCAGCCAGTGGTGTTGGAGCTCTTGTCAAAACTGATTTATAAATTATAAAGACAGACTAGTACCATCAGGTTTTGATCCACAATGCAATACCATCTGGAAAGCAACTGACTGCATACTTTTTCAGCGTGACAATGATCCTGTCATGGCTGTAAAAGCATACCCTGAGAAAAACAAACAATGGAACACTAACAATCATGGACTGGCCTCCCCAGAGCCCGGACATCAACATTATACTTACAACATTACTTGTAGGTATTTCAATACATTCTTATATTTCCCATTTTTCCAGCAATCTTTAAAAAAAGAAAAAAAGAAAAGAGGTGTGGCTCAAGACATGCAGTTATTGGGGTTAGGTTCCTCAGTAATTCTAAATTGCCCATAGGTGTGAATGGTTGTGTGTCTCTCTGTGTTAGCCCTGCGCCAGACTGGTGACCTGACCAGGATGTACCCAACCTCTCAACCTATGATAACTGGGATAGGCTCCAGTCCCCCCACAACCCTAATAAGAGTAAACAAAAACATTTGAATGGATGGTAGTTACTGAAGTATCTAATTTTGAAATGAATGTCTTTCCACAGCAAAGAAAAGGAAAACAAAGAATATTTTCTTTTTCCTTCTGTATATTTGCTCACCTGCAAATAGCAGGCTGCTTATGACAGCGCTCGAGCAGGAGACAGACTGATACTCTGGTATAAGAGATCAATGTACACAGAAGTGAAGCAGCTCAGTATTCCCATGGACATTCCTCACTGGACGACATGGTGTCACATTGAGAGCACTGTAGTGCAGGATGTTGGGATGTAATGTTCTTCGTTTAATTTCTGGGTATTACCTTATGTGTATGAACAGCGTGGTTCCAAATTAAGCCAGTCTGTTTATTTGATAATGAAATCAATTTGTAGTGTCATGGTTAAGTGTAAATATTTGTATTATATATGTGTTGTTTCTTGGCATTTTCCCCCTTTATGATATCAGGGAAATCTGTTACTTCTCATAGCTTTTCTGTAGCGCTACAAACCTGAAGGGTTTCAGGTGTCACTTCTCATGGAAAGTGACACCTCTCAGTCTAAAACACCCACTAGTTGTCGGCTATTAGCACACATCACAGAGCGACAGGAAAGACTCCATGTAGGGTTTGAATGAAACAGCAGTCTGAGGTAATTTCAGAGGGCTGTTTCATAAAATCTCTGTGCTTTCATTTCTGTTAACAATCAGAGCAGTCTTTGAGAGAAAAACTTCAAAGCACCTGTAAGAGCTGAGCTAGTGGAAACAGGCTATAGCGTAGTCACAGGAGAGTCAGGACCCCATCTTTTAGTGTCCTGTAATTATTACATCATCTGCAAACTTTCGAAACTATGCAGCCATTCTGTGCCATAAAAGTCTCTCAATTAAAGACACAGTTTAGAAGCAAAGCACAAAAAGTGGCGCTGGAAAAAGCTGCAGTAGGAAACTTTTAATTAGTAAGATCTGCTAAGAGAATTTTCTGTTTCCAGGCCCTCAGTGTTTTTGCAACACGAGGGCAGTGCAGTGGTTTCTATTTTTTAGCTTCATTAAACATTATTAGTCTTTTTTTCGTACAACTAAAGAATGGGAATGATTTTATGATTGATTCCCTGTGTCCAAATACTGTAAATAATGCATTACAGCTGCTGGTTTCAAACATTTCCCTCGCTCCTAAAATAGATGTATGTAGTGTTACCATGGCCTAGAGTATCCATGCATTATGTCTGTAAGTGTGCTAAGGGGTGGTGTGTTTGTATATGTGTTGATGAGGTGGGCATGGTGGAATATCTGTGGTGTGGTTGTGGCTGGTTGGTCTGGGTAAAACAGCAAAACAAAACAGTATTTTCAGGCCCAGTCTGACCCTGCTGTGGTGTGAAGTGTTGGCGTAAAGCACATAGCAGAAGGTGTGATCTGGCCCTGACCTGTCTGAAAATGGAAACATGGATTAACACTCCTTTTTAAAA